ACATCTCCTTGCCTACACCAGGTTGTTCATGAGCTTTTTCCTTCCTCTGCAGGGAGCTGAGGGAGAGATAGACCTTTACCTTCTCACTTTTCTGCCTTAGCCCATGTACTGAGCAGGATTTTCCACTGTCTTTCCAGCCTAAAGGGAGAGCCAGGACTGCCATTGGGGTTCGGGTTTAGCTGCTATGTTCCCTCACATCACCTCTCCCACCACTGCTCTCACAGGCTCAGCAGACAGCCAGAGCTTCAGCCAAGGACTCATCATCCCTTCCCACTCCATCTAATGGCTTCTCTTTACACCTACAGACCACAAACATTTGGGCTTGTTGTTGTAATAGCAAGTGTGCCATCTGGCAAAACAAAATCCACTTCCCCCAAGCATCTCTGCAAGGCAGAGGTACAGAATGTGTCTCCTTGTGGCAATCAAGGGAAGGGGCTGGTGCTGCCAGAGGTGTCTCCCAGGCTTTGCATCCTTCAGGAAGTGGGCACTGGAGAAAAATACAGTCAGAAACAGTGTCAGGAAGCCAGACACTCAGCCCTCTAAGCTGAGTGCTCTCCACTACATAACCACACTACAATGAATTTTCCTATGGACCTGGTTGGGTTTGGAACAGATTTAGAAGGGAAAAAGAAATTGTGTCTCTCCAGAATGGTCTGTAGTCTACACAGACTCCTGAGAGAAGCAGCTTTGAACACTCTAGCAGAAATCTCACTTTTACCTGGAGATGCATATTGTTGTCCTCAGGGGCCTGTATAAAAGCTGGGTATTTGTTGTCATTATAGTGCAAGAGTTCTACTGTCATTACACCGCAAGGGTTCCATATTGCTAGAGCTTTGTACCTCCTTGATGTTTCTTGTAGGCAGCTCCTCCAGGCACTGACTCTTCCTGGTCCTCACAGCAGCCAACTGACTCCAGTTGCCCTCAGCCAATCAATCCACTCTTGTATAACACTCTTCTTATTGGCTACAGCTGTGGCCTGTTAACACCAGGCCTGCCCCTAACCCTTAATAACTAACCCAGCTGCAACTCTTTAGGGGGTAAGACTACATTCTATACTACCTTATATTCTATCCCCCTACAGGTATTGGCATCATCAGCATTGTCTTCTCAAAAAGGCAGAGCTTGTCTGAGCTCTCACAGAGTGTATCTGCAGGTACTTTCCCCAGGGATTCCCGGTTCCAGACCCAGGATGGGCTCCAGCCACAGCACCAGCAGACACATCCTTCTGCACCCACATGGGGAACCACAAGGAGCTCCTGCTCCCCACCAAGGGAACACTACAAACTTGGTACAAAAACTGAAGGAAGGGGAAGGTGAGGATTGTTCTAACCTAACATGTCACTCACATCCACACACCTACAAACACACACTCACATGTTCACCAAAAGGTGGCCAGGGTCCCTGTGTGTGCCACAGAAAACAAGGGACACTCACCCACCAGCAAGCCCTAATTACAGCCTTAGCATCCCTCCTCATTGACAGCAAAGAAATGGGCTCTGAGACACATTTTTCACATGCCTTAGGAGTCAGTGGTGATTACAGGCTCACCTTTATCTCAGCATCTTGCTTACCCTCCAAAAACCCTAGGAAAGCTGCTGCCTGTTGCCTCCTTTCCATCACTTTGGTCATCTTATCTATTCCTTCCTCTTGGAACCACAGGAAGAAAAATTGTGGTGTGACACTGCTCCTGTTATCAGGGAACCAGCCCTCTGCTGGTGAGCCATCTGTGCTGTGGCCTTATCACAGCCCAGACCTCCCAGTCCTGACACAAACCACACATCCTGGGGTGTTTACCCAATTCTTTGCTGCCAGTCACGTCTGTGGCCTTCAGCAGGGCCAAAGCATCCCCTCCTCTAGAATTCCTGCTGCTGCTTTCACACACACTTTCCCACCCACACTCCATGCACACCATCCTCAGTATTTCCATTGAGTTACTCCCACCAAAGGCAGGATTCCCATTATAAATCACATGAACAGATTTTAAGTGCAAGCCAGCCAGGCTAGCTCTGACAGCTAGCAACAAGCTGGTTCATGTTTAATGGTGTTCTTTGCCAGTGCGGATAAATGGTTCCCCCAGGCAGCTGGTTTCTGAGCCTCTCAAGGTGATGGTACCACCACAGGAGCATCAGCAGCCCTCAGGTCACCTTCTCATGCCTGGGCACTGAGATGGGCCTGTGGGCAGCAGGCAGGTACATGAAAGTCTGCAGGGAACATGTGTCCACATGGCAGCCACGGAGAGGCCAAAGAGAGAAGTGCAAGCTCTGGGCTATACCTCAGCCCCCCAGCTGTGCTGCAGGGGTCTGGGATGTCCCCCTGGGTGTGGGGGCAGTGAGCAAGCAGCCCTGTGGGGTTTAGCTGCCAGCTGCAGTGAAACCATGACACCCAGGTGCCAGGTGGGCCACAGAGTCCCTCACAGGTACCTCAAAGATAGCTCTCAAAGACAGCTCTGATGCCTGGGGCAGCAGCTCACAGGAGACTGAGCAGCTCTGGAGGCTCTGGCAATGGGAAAAATGGAGCCAGCCTATCCAGCCTCATCCCAGAGAAATGGCAGATCCCATTAGGAGCTTGTTGCTGCCTCCTCTCATGAGTCCAAGCCAGAGGAAATCACCCTCACCTCCCATAGGACACAGTACTCTGGTACTCCATGAAATGGCACTAGGTAGCAGTTCCTAGAGCTGGAAAGATTGACTCTCTGCTATCAGTGCAAGCTAACATATATATCACACCTTCCCCTGCAAAGGACAGGGTCTTGTAGGCCAGACTAACAAGGACTGCTGTTCCTGGATATTTGGTAACACTGCAGACTACAGACAAAATCTGTAATTATCTGTGTGTGTGAAGCCCAATGCACAGAGCACAACTGTGAGAGTCTTCTGCTTCTGCATCCTGAGTGTGCACTGGTGTCCCTGATCCAGGACACACCAGGAACACCCAGCTGTGTCCTACACTGGGGTATGGCAGAGCCTGGAGAGCTGGAGTGATGCCTGCTTGTTACCTGTGTGACAGTGACAGGGATGAGCTGGGAACTTCCCAAAGAGTTACACGGGCAGTGCTGATGATGGAACCCTGAATGGATGGGGCAGCTTTGAAGCTGACACCAACTGTCCATCACTCACCCACAGGAAGCTTGTGCAGGCACAAAGAAGAATGATTTCTCACAAACTCATGCCTGCTGTCTGTTAAAAAAAGCCACAGAGGAACCCAGGTACATCTAAATATCTACTTGTTTAAAAAACCCACAGAGAAACTCAGATATATTTAAATATCCACTTCTGGTCATGCTCAAGGCATTCAAAGACATTTTCATGAATCTGTGGTCATTGTCCTCGTCACAAAAACAGTGTATCACATCAAGCCACAAACCAAAGCTATTTTGTTAGAAATAAATAAATAAACAAACGGCTACATAAACATCTCAGACAAGGTGGATTTGGATCCAAAGCTGTTTTTGTTTTTCTCTATTGACTTCCCACAAAGAAGGCAGAACACAGCTAGGGTGGCAGATGAAAGTGAATGCCACAGAGCACCCAGGACTCTCCATAAATGCCAGGTGCCATCTCTTCCTTGAGGAAGGAGAGAAAACAGGGACAAGTGGCCAGGAAGGGCTCCAGCAGGCAGGACCATCTGCCACCAGCCCTCACAGAGCCCCAGTGAGCTGCAGGGGCCAATGCTCAAGCAGAAAACTCTCCTGCCAGCTCCCATCCCAGCACAGCCCCTCTGCAGAGAGCTGCTGGATCTATCCCAGCCTGACTGACAAGATCAATGTAAAATCATGAGTAGTAAATGTAAAATCCTTGGGGCAATCAGCACAGGCTGACTGAGCATCACCAACCTGGAACAAAGCTGGGAATCAAAAGCCTGAGCACCAGGGAAGCAAAGCAAAATCTCCAAAATTGTAAGGCTGGCACAGCCAGACAAACATCTCCAGGTTCAAGTCTCTCTGCACTCCCTATAAAATGTCCTGTCTTTACACATGGGGCACAAAGTTACAGAAGTGAATATTCACCTGGACAGCTTTATCCCTCTTTTTTTAGCTTGAAGCATCTCTATCCATCCTGCCAGTTAGCAGGGATAGGAAGAGGATATGCTTCCATACTTGAGTTTTATTTATGCCAACTTTGTTAAATTATCATTGTGCCCTTCTTTACAACTGTAAGAGATACACTAAATCTACAGAATCACTTTTTCCCAGTCAAGCAGCCAACACATGACTGGCCCTACAGGAGCTGCAGCCCTGCTGTCCAGGGTCCCAGACATGGAGCAGGGAGGCTCTCCAGCTGTGCTGCCATCAGGATTTTGCTCACATTCCTCACACTCACAACCCACTCCCACCAGGACTCTCTGACTGTTTCTACACTCTTCCTCTAATCTGGAAAACAGCATCACCACACAAACCTAGAGGCCCAAGCATGAGGGAAACATCTGGAAGGCAAACAGCTGGCAAGGCTCCTCAGCCATGCCCTGGCACAGCAGCACAGATTCCATCCTATGCAGGAGGCTTTAGTCAAAGCTCTTCTGTGGTTTGGGAAGCAATGCAGGCAAATCTTAGGAAACCCAAACCTCATTTGTGATACAGAAAAACCTAAGAACTTACTCACTAAACAACTCTGTCCATGCACTGCCAGACACCTGGCAAGCTTCACCCGAAACCAGCTTTTTTACAGCAGGCACAGGGCATTTACCAAGAAGCTGCAGGTGTAACAAGCATCACCCCAGCTTTAAAAGATTCACAACAGTGACTGTCAGTTGACTGAAAACCCACGTTGGGAAGCTGATGAACTAAATTCAGGCAAAGATTAATGTTCCAGGGGCTCCAAATCCTCCCAAGGTTTTTGTTGCATGTTTGCAACTCCAGGTTTAGGGTGAGCAATCCCTTGTGAGAGCTCCCCTGTAATTGGATGTATCCCAGCCTGGCTGACAAGATAAACAAAAATCATGAGTAGCAGCACTCCTTGGGGCAACCAGCAGCTGCAGGGGGGGAAACCCAAAATGTCTCTTACGTTCTGCAGGGCGTCCTGGTACTGTGGCAGTGAGGAGAGCTGGGACTCAGAGTGGTACGGGGACAATCCTTTCCTCAGGGTCCGCAGGTCCCCCGTGCTGGACTGCTGTAAAGACAACAGAAAACAGGAAATGTTAATGGGAGGAAAGAAAGCTGGGCCCCTCCTGATGTCCTGGCTTTTGCCATGACCACATCTGTCCCCTCTTTACTTCCCCCTGCACCAACAGTGACAGTGAACACTGGAATAAAGTGCTTTTTCCATTCTAGTCCTAGAGAAAACACCTGCAAGCAGCTGGAGGTGAACTGGTCAAGGTCTGCTACATTAAGTGATACAGCAGGAAGGCATTTTTGTTAAGTTCCTACATGGTCAATAATAAACATTTGTTTAGAAGCACATAAAAAATATTTTTAAGACTTCAGATTAAATCAAAATCAGCAAAAAAAAATCCACAAACCCCAAACAAACCAAGCAACCAAAAAACTCACCCAAAAAATCCACACCAGAAGACATTTTCTAGATTAAGGCTTTTTAAACAGTGTTATTATCATTCACTTAAGCTTGCAACATGTGTGTTGACAGGAAGAGTTTCTTATTTGGTTACATATTTGCTTGAACCCACAGGTCTTAAACATAGTCAAACAAATGAAGGTGGTTAATATGACCCTAAAAAACAAATAAATGCAACCAATAGTCTGCACTCACATGGGAAGGAGCACTGGGTGTTAGGAGGACTGAACAATCACCCTGGGACAAAGTTTCTGCCTTGTGTTTTTAACTCTCTGTGATCTTGAAATGTGAAGAATGAGAAGTGTTTCTCATTTATAAAAGTGCACCCAGAAAAAGCCAATACACAAGCAGCCAAAATCAAAGGTCTGTGAGAAGATTCTATCTTTATCACCAATAAACATCTCATTAATTTTTCCTATTTTTAGGAGTATCAAGCAGTGCACTGTCCTCTATACTGAAGTTTAAAAATCATGACCTTTCAGATTTTTATGCTCTATTAAGACTTTCAACTGCCATTTGCTACAGAAGTTATGTTTTCTACTTCAAAAGAACCAAAGAAAAATCATTGGAGCAATAAAATTTAACAAGTAATCTCATAAATCATATCAATTTTATGTAAAAACCCCACAGTAACCCAAAGGCCTGAACATAACAGGGACTTTGGAGACTGTTGTCATGCACAGATCTCTGGAAACATCAGAAGTTCATTTCCATTTCCTGCTCAAAGAGAAGAATTAATGCACTCTGAGTGGATACATTATTTTCTGTCAGTGTCATATATATTTTCTTGTAGCTACATGGCCTGTTTTAGCTGATATTCAACTTTGGTTTTATTTCAAAATGCTGTTTTCTTAGCTTAAAACTTCTACAGTGACCCAGTGCTTTCACAACCATTCTGGAGGCCTCACCCTATCAACTTTCCTTTTATAAGCTGTGAAGAGAAGGGCAGTTCTCAAGAAAGCCATAATGAGAAATGGATGCTAGTCCTGTGTGACCCAATCTGCTGGGAGCTGCAGTGTCTCACATGGAGTCAAGTGGTACAGAATGAGTTCAGCATATCAGATATCTGGGATTCCCCTGAATTTATGAAGAGAGAAGATGTGGCCTGTATTTCTTTCACATTTCACAACAGAGAGTCAGAGAGAGAGAGATCTGAAGGAGTAACTCCTTCTGAAGCTGAAAAGTGACTGCTGCAAAACTGAGTTTCCACTATTCCTGGGAGGTATATGATTTCAAAGAAAGGTTAGCAGGTCACAATTGAAGATGATAAGAAGACTCTTGGTTTACTGGCAGTGTCCCAGGCATGTGATGTCTCTTGGTGGTTATCCTGACAGGATTTCTCCTTGGCTGGTCGTGCTCCCACATCCCTGCTGTGTGCAACCCCTTCTCCCCTCCTGTGTGTGTGGGGACACAGCAACCTCCTGGAGAGCTCCTGGCACTGCTCTGGGCTGCCAGTCAGGAGCTCAGGCACTCTGCCCTGACATCTGGGACAATGGCGCACATGTGTGACCAAGGGAAAAGCAGAACAAAACAGCAGAGCAAAATGTGGCGTTGTATCTTCGTGCTGGAGACCCCAGGGGTTGCAGATCCCCTCAGATCTCTGCTCCAGAGGAGTGTGTGGCCTCAGCAGTTTACAGGCCATGGGTTACTCAGACTTTTGCAAACCACACTGAGACCTGCAGGATGCCACACCATGGTGGGGCACCAGAAATGTGTAAACAGGCCTGAGAAAGAGAGATTTGCTGGACATTTGCATCCCAGAAACTTGCTGCCTTGCCCCCAAGTCTGAATGGGTTGGTCTACATTGGATTCCCCACATGTTTCATCACATTACAGCTTATCCTCACAGAAAGTCAAAATGGTTTACCCAGCTAAGGAAGGGAGACAACCAAACCAAGTCCAGAGAGCACCCAGTATCACACTGCTGTCACTAAAACCACACTAGTTTAAATTGATTTAATTAACTGCCCTATGCTCCTGCCTGGAGAAAAAGTCTGCCTTAATTTCAATTTGGTTTAAATTGGTTGAAATTGTGTTGGTAAATACACAGATACAGTCAAAACTCTGCTCTAACAAGTGTTTATAATGGATTAGTTCTATTGCTTTTTTTAAAGCAAATCCCATTTAAGATTTCACTAGCGTGTGACAAAACTATTGTTAGGTTGTTTCAGTGGCAGCTGATTACGAATCTGACCTAATGCATTCAATTTGATGGAAAGATTCCCACTGAGTTCAATGAACATCAAAACAAGCTCTTAATTAAAGAACAGAAAGGAAAAAGAGGAAAAAAAATAGGACAAGAAAAAGAAAAGACATCTAAGCAATAAAAACGCTGAGCAGAGATCTCTCCAGAAGAGGATCAAGGTGTTTGGAGCAGAGTGGGTTTGCTAGTGCAAAAAGAGTCTTCACCTGCCATTATTTATAAGACATCCCTGTCAGAGATGGGCAGAGTAAACTTTTTCCTCCCACTGTCTGTCATAAAGCCTCTTCCATGAGCCCTGCACTCAGTGCAATTTTCCTTCTATATTTTCTAGAAGTTATTTGGGAATGTATCTCACTTTATTGCTTGTGGTTTTTTACAACAGGCTACCAATCACAGCTCTGCACAATTTATCTTCCCTGCACTAAAGGGAAATTTTTCACCATAGAAAGAAAACTGCTTTTTCTCCTTTTTAAAATTAAAATGGTGCAGTGACACATATTCAACAGACCTCCCTAAACATTTGCACATTCCTTGGGCTTTGCTATCAGTGTTAGAGCTAACCAGGGAAAGAAAGTGAATCCCTCATTAAAAAGCAATATGACTAATGATGCATCAGAACGAGTAGCCATTACTCCACTTAAACCTAAATTAAAAATCCTGGTATTTGCATTGTCAATTCACTCACAAAATGAAATCTCTTATTACCTTACCCAATTTTCATTACTGAAATGTAAGTGGATCCCAAATTGCTTTTGTAGTCAGAAAGACATTTTAAAAGTAGAATCTCTGATCATCTCTGTTCATCATCATTGCTGGAGATTATCTCAACTGAAGGGCAACATATCTATAATAAATTATCCTTCAGGTAAAATCACTTCACATTTCTGGAGTTTCAAGAAATCTATCAGCAGAATCATTTTCACCTGAACTAAAACTCCGTGGGAGCATGCAGTCCCAGCTGAACTTTTATTGGCAATGTTTTCTGAGCTGAGGAACAGACAGAAGGAGGGACACAGCAAAGGAGACCAAGGGAGAGCTCAGGAGACTCACACCCCCAGCAAACACCAACAACTGGCCACTGACTGCTCCAAGAGTGGCTCTTGCTGTCTTGCTGTCAATATTTTTCAAACCCTAGTTTCATCCATAGTTCAAAGAAGAAAAAAAAAAATAAGAAAAAGAAAAAGCAAGCATGTCCTGACTTTCACAGTGGTACAAAAGTGCAAGACCTGCACTCGGTCCAACTCAGCACTTTCTGATGAGCACAGGGACAAGCCTGCAGAGCCAGCACCTTCACCTGGCAGCACAAACCTGTGCCCCACACTGCCAGCACTGACGCCCCACTGCCATCATTTCAACACAATCACTCCTCAGCACTCACAAAAAATGACAAAACATTTATGGATAAATTTTTCAACTGGGCAGGACTTCACAGTGACCCAGAAGATGCCACTGGACCAAAGCCCAAGACTTTGCCAGCCTGTTATGAAACAAATGGACACTCCCTCCCACCAGGGAAGGGAGTTTGGTCAATTCCTACCAGTGAGAAAAGAGTAGGGCAACCAAACCAAGTTTTTTAGTAAAAATAGACTGCAAAACCAACTTTTTTTCTGTGTAGAAAACAAGCAATTTGATGGGTGGAAAGGGATATTTTCCATAACAAATAATGTACTATTTTAAATGCTTGAGATAGAAATTAAAGTCTTGGGGCTTACCAAAGACTAAAATTACATTAAAAAAAAAGGCAAAACAAAACAATGAAAAAACAGCAAACACTTGTTCCTATCAAAGCTTTCCATCCTGCTAGCAAAGAGAAGAAATGGTGGCCTCTGACTTTTTGACCTGCTGTGCTGAGTGATTCAATTGAAAAATAACACAAATAACACAAGAAGATGGATGGTGTTTGTGGTATTTTAAGGTCAAAGTGCTACAAAGAAACATTTATTTTCCTCTTCGTTTCTGTCCAGTAAAGTCAGATCAGTGCTGTGGCTATGTTGGACCGACTAAAGAAGATAAAGTGTTGAAAACTTAGAGACAAGTCAGACAAATTATCTTTTCTGCTACCCTTCAGTGTTACTTCTGCTAGAAGGCAGAATAAAGAAGACAAATATTTAATTCTGAAATACTTTGATGCAACAAAATGAACTGTTCTTAACATAAATTAAATACAGAAAGACGGAAATTTACTTGACAGAAAGTTCTCAGTATTTATGAGAGATTAGCAAAAAATTATTTCAATTAGAATTATGTTCTGAAGTGACCGTGGAAAATTAAAAAGCAGCACTGTCAGCTCCCAGTAATTCATGAATTAGCATTCAAAACAGGGTTGTTACATAAGTAGCCTTTAACTGAAAACACTTTTTTCTCCTTTCACATAAAATCTAACAGATGAAGGCTG